CATCTAAACTTCTCGAGCCCCTGGCCCTGCCTGCCCCAACCCCACCAACCCCACTGGGTGTTACCAAAGTCCACATGGGAGGCCAAGGCCTTCGGGAGCTGGTAGGGACGTAGGGACCTTACAACACGGGTCTCTGCAGGTCCCCCCACATAACGGTGAAACTCAGACCCAGAGAGCAGCAGCTCTGCCTGTCTGGAGGTCAGAGAGCAGAGAACAGAGGTCAAAACGCATAAAACAGAGCAGAGACGGCCGTGTGAGCATCACCGGGCACTTAGCTGTCTCCCCATGCGTTAGCTCTTACCCATAACCCCCAGCAAGCTCTCAGCTCCCTCCCATTGGGGTGGCTGGTCTCCCTGGTGGCACAATTGGTACCCCCCGTGGGGCAATGATTCTCTCTCACCGAACACTCATCCAGCAGGTCAGAAAGTCCTGTGTGATCACTGAGTGGCAGTTCCGGGCTCCAGCCGCCAGGAGCCATTTTTGGACCGTGCGGAGGGTCAGTGGTGAGGGCCGGACCAGTTCAGCCACATCCTCCAGGGTCAAGTATTTTCCTGCAGGGATTCAGTAGAGGCTCTTGCCTTCATTCATTGCTTTTCCAAGTTTCCCTTTTTGGGCCTCAACCAAGAGACACTGGGAGCGTGGAGAAGGGTCTTGAGGGACTTTATAACACAAAGGTAAGCATGCAGGTAAAGCTTATACTGGGGGCCCGGGGAAGAAGAGCTGGAGAGAACTGGAATGCCAGGGCCAGAAATACGGATTTATCCTAAAGACTACTAGGTTGCAAATGCTGCACCACAGTATGCATTGCCATGATCATGAAAAACAAGTGAGGTTCATAAATTAAAACTCCATTTTAAGCTTATCTCCAATAACAGTCTTTGAGACTTTCAGAGCCAATTATAAGATGATATCTAATTTAGCTCAAATTTTCATACATGTTGATTTTAAGCTTAACATGATGGCAAGTCACTGTTTTCCTGTATGGAGCCATGCACACTAGTACTTGCCTCCCGGGTGCATCCGAGACCGCCTCCTCCCCCACTCCTCCACCCCCCCAGTCCTCCACCCACCACGAAGGGCTGCAAGCAGGGGAAGGACACAATCCAGCCTGACCCTTGGAGCAAAACATCGACAGTTTTAGAGCAGAGAGTGGAGGAGAGCGGGGAGGCGGGTGGAAGGAAGAGAGTCACGGGGCTGGGCAGCAGCCACGTGAGAGAATAAACTAAGTTGGTGGCAACGAGGGGGGTGAGAAGTGGACGACTCCAAAGGCTCCTTTAGAGTTAGAAGTGGCAGCCTCAGCTTCAGATTGGAGAAAGAAATGGGACTGGATTTGTGGAACTTGAGTTGGTGAGCACCTAGATGTACAACAGCCCCCAATTTACGATTTTTCGACTTTACAATGATGCAAGACCAAACACACATTCTGTGGAAACTGTACTTTGAATTTTTATCTTTTCTGGGGCTAGCAGTGTGGTACGATACTCTCTGCTGATGCTGGGCGGTGGGAGGAAGCCACAGTTCCCCATCAGGCACATGATCATGAGGGTACCCAACTGGTACTCTACCAATTTTTTGGATATTGTGTTCTGAGTGTATTTAAGACAGACTAGGCTAAGCTATGATGTGTTAAAAGCATTTTTGACTTAATATTTTCAACTTGAGATGGGTTTATTGGGATGTAACCCCCATTGTAAGTCAAGAAGCATCTGTATTAGATGCTACTTCTCCATTTGTAGAGTCATAATTCGAATCCGGATTTGAACATAAAGCCTGTGCCCTTTTTTTTTCTTTTTTTTTCAAAAAAATGTATTTTATTGATTTTTTTACAGAGAGGAAGGGAGAGGGATAGAGAGTTAGAAACATCGATCAGCTGCCTCCTGCACACTCCCTACTGGGTATGTGCCCACAACCAAGGTACATGCCCTTGACCATAATCGAATCTGGGACCCTTTAGTCTGCAGGCCGACGCTGTGCCAAACCGGTTAGGGCCCTTTTTCTTTTTAAATTAAGCCCTGGCTAGTTTAATTTAAACAGTGAGGGGAGTGTGCAAGAGGCAGCAGATTAATGATTCTCTCTCATAATTGATGTTTCTATCTCTCTCTCCCTTCCTCTCTGAAATCCATAAAAATATATATTTTTAAAAAGTGGATGTACCTGGGTGGCAGTTTTGATCCCTGGCTCCAGTCAGTCGGTGTGTGTGTGCGAAGGTGCGCGTGCAGGCGTGCACACCACTCAATATGTCTCTCTCACATCTATGTCTCTCCCCCCCCCCTTCCCTCCCTTCCACTCTGTCTAAAAATCAATGGAAAAAAATATCCTTGGGTGAAGATTAAAATAAGTAAAATAATTGATTTTAGAGAGGAAGAAAGGGAGAGACAGAGGGAGCGGGAGAGAGAAAAAGAGAGCGAGAAAGAGAGAAGCAGTTGGCTCCCATACACACCTTGCACTTCCACCAGGGATTGAAAAGCAACCTAGGTATGTGCCCTGACCAGGAATCAAACCTGTGATGGTTCTCAGTTGGGTGGGAGGATGCTCCAACTGAGCCACACCAGCCAGGGGAAAGCCTGAGCTCTTAACCACATCTGCTTTTAGGTTTCTAGCCTGACAAACACAGATAGAAAGGTTTTGGACAGTTTAGCTTCAGTTCACTTTTCATTCAGAAACTTTTCAACGAGAGCCACTGCCATTCATGTGCCCTATATTACCCCCTGCCAGGAACTGAGAGCATGACCTTGACATGCCCTGCACTGTCCCAGGCTCAGCCCAGCCCTGTACTGCATCCCACATCCCGTCCCTAGTCCCGACAGGCACCGTAGCGAGGAGAGCCGGGATCCGACACAGCCTGAACCAGTTTGGACAGTCTTTCCAGGTTCTGCTGTCTTAGAGCAAAGGTGAGACTCAGCTCTTCCTCAGGGTCCACACGGCCCAGGGACACCCATCCTGGGGGCAGCCTGTGGGGTCAGGAACACGGCCTTTGTTAGGGTGGCGATGGGAAATAGTCCCAGAAGGTTCGGGATTAGGGGCTGAGAGCTTGGGAAAGACCCCAGCAGCGGATATGGCTCATGAAGGTGGACGGTAGGTGACTGAGCCTGGGAACCTGGGGTGAGACTGTGCCGTGAGTAGCGGGAGCTGGTAAGGGGGTGAGGGAGGCTAGGAACAGGGCAGTGGGTGTGGGACAGGGCATACGGGGAAGGAGGAGGTCGTGCTCAATCAACTCACGTCCGCTGCTGGTCCGGCTCCGGGCTGTAACTGCATCTGCCCACGACGCAGAGGGCCAAGAGCCCTAGGAGGCTGCGGGGGCGGCAGGGGGGTTTCAGTGGGAAGTGGGTTGTGATGGCCTCCCCACCCTCCAGCATGTATTCCCTCCAACACGATCCCCTTCTCCCAGGCCCTAATTGCTTACCAGGCTCCGAGTCCCATTCCGTCTCTCAGCAGATCTGCTGTCATGTGACTGATCACATGAACCCTACAGTCTACCACTACCACGCTTCAGCCTGGAAACTAGTGACGTGCTGGTTCCTCCCCCGAGTGGGCGGTCCTGATTGCTGGGGGAGTGGGAGGGGCTGCCACTTGGATTCTCCCGCTGAGGCCCATCAGGGCCCTGGCTTTGGCCCCGCGTTCCCTCCTACTGCCAGTCCACTAGGACTGACCAGAGGGTACAGGGGGACTTAAGAAAGGAGCCCTAGGCCCACAGACCCAAAGACCCGGGTTCTTCCTAGCTGTGTATCCAGAAAGTCACCCACCGAACCTCTCAGAGACCAGCCAGCTTTCTTCATTTAGAATATAAACTGTGATATTAAAAGTGGTCTGTCTCATAGGGTTGCAGTGAAATTTACAGATAAAACAGGCAAATCGCTCAGAAGCCTGATGGCAAAGGCTCAACACATTTGAGTCCTATGACAAGTGAATACATAGTGGCCCCAAGTAAAACACATGAACCACTTGGCTGCTCCTGTATCCACCACCTCCTTGGCCTAGAGCTGGTCATCCCTAAAATCTCTCCTCACCCATCCAGTCTCCCTCTGGTCACCGTCTGCCTTCTTCCTGGCCTCCTGCCTGTTAGAGGGAAAGATGGACTGCAGAGAGATGGCTCCCAGGGCCACCCCCACCCTGGATGCCCATGTCTGCCACCCCTCTGTGCCTCCTGAGGTGTCCACAGTGTGCCAGGTGCCTTCCCATCCCTCTGGCCCCCACAGAACTGAGCCGGACGCTGGATACAAACTGCAGTTTATTAAGGCTCCAGAGTGAGAATTGGCACTTGGTTCTGGGCAGGGGAAGGGGTGTCAATGGAACCCAAAGGAGCTGGGCCCAAACAGGTTGGAGGACCTCCCCCATCCCCCCTACCCCCCAATAAATAAAGTCTCAGCTCCATCTCGGTGCTGGCACCGGGCAGAAAGCCCTCACTGAAGAGAACCAGGGCTGCTGCCTCCTTCATTTGTCTCCCACACTGGACCTGGCCACAGGTCAGTGCCCACAGGGCCTCTGTGGGGTTGGTACTCCGATGGGGCTGGGGTGAGACGTGCGACCTGCTCCCACTGGAAAGTTTGGGACGGGGAGTTGGTCTCCCCCGTGGCCAATCCTGGTCCGAGGCTGCCCAGGGCAGGCTCAGATGGGGCCTGCATTGGGGACACTGTGCGTGTCCCAGGTCGGGACCCAGCCTGGGCCACAGCTAGATGTGCAGCTCCGTGTCATCAGGTGGCTCCAGGCCGGACTCTGCGCTAAGTGCTGAGGCTGAGGGGCCCTGGGCCACCCCAAATGGCGAGACAACGGGTGAGCGAGCAGCCAGAGGAGACAGTGAGGGTGAGAAGCTGGGGGACATGGCAGCTGAGGACAGGGAGCCTTCGTGGCTGATGGGGGAGCGGTGAGCGGCCGGCGGGAAGATGGCCCGGGGTGCAGCTGTACTGGCTGGCTTGGGAGGCACGGACTTGGCTCCTGGGTGGGCCACGGCAGTGATGAGGGGTGGTGGGTCGATACGGGGAGCTGGGGGACATGGCCGAGCTTCATCCTTGAGCCGGGCGATCTCTGTGAACACGCTGGCCAACGGCTGGAACTGAGGGCACCAGCTCAGCAGATAGTCCCAGTTATAGCTGCCACGGAGCTCTTCCTCGCCAGCCACAATGGCCGTCAGTGCACCTGCCACGCATGGCTTGCCATCTGCTGGGAAGCCATAGTCCCCAGTGGGTGCAGGGCTCAGGCCACACCCCCCCAGGAAGGCCGTGGCAGTGGCTGGGGGGCCCTCTTCTCGGTACAGAGTGGCTCCTGCACCTGGCAGCAGCAGCCCTGCCTTTCGGCCCTTATACCAGGTATCGGGGGCGTTGCCCGAGTCGGGGCCACGGGCAGCGAGTGAGGAGGCCACACTGGCCACACGGGGGAACTCGTTGATCATGCGGATCTCGTCATCCTCCGCAGCCTCTGCTGAGCCTCGGCCGCTTGAATGGGAAGGGTCCAGGGAGCCACCCCGTGGGTAGGGACCTCCAGCTCCTGGCCCACCATAGCTGGGGAGAGTCTGGTGATACAGGTGCTCTGAGGGCGGTGGGCTGGGTGGCTCCCGGCCCAGCTTCTGCAGGGAGCCACTGGCTAGGGGTGCCGCCTGGGACATCGGGCCAGGCGCTGCCTCTGCCTTGCGGCTACGGGCCCGCACCAGCCCAAGGACCAGGGCTGCCAGTGCAAGCACCACCACCACTCCCAGAGAAGCTGCCACAGCCCCCACCAACAGCAGGTTGAGGTCAGGTGCCAGGCCCAGCGCCGTGTGGGTGATATCCACGGTCACCGGCACTGTGGCACTCCTCGAACCAGGCAGCGGCCCCCGTGCCACCACTTCCAGCCTCAGCTCTCGTGGTGCCTCACGCCGGGTCCGGCCCCCACCCCCAGAAGGGCCTGTTCCGCTGCCTGGTGCTCGGCTGTCCACCCGCAGGTACAGGGCACCTGTAGTCTGGTTGATACCAAAGTAGGGAGAAGAGGTGGCAAGGGAATAGAGCACTAGGCCATCGGCACCTCCATCCTCATCTGTGGCCTGCACGTGACCCAGGCTGTGGCCACGCCGGGCACCTTCCGGCACTTGGAAGTGGAAAGCTGGAGCCAGGAACACCGGGTCATACTCATCCTCGCCAGTCACCAGCACCGACACAGTGACCGAGGCGGAGAGATTCCCAGCATCGGCGGCACCCACCAGCAGCTGGAAGCTTCCCGTGTGCTCGTAGTCAAAGGCCACTCGTGCCCGCAGCTCCCCCGTTGAGCTGTTCAGTGCAAATGCCTCACGTCCCTCAGGCCCTGGTCCAGCCTCCAACAGGGTGTAGTGGAGCCTCCCGAAAGCCCCGGCATCCCCATCAATCGCATGCAGAGTGGTCACAAGGGTGCCTGGCGGCTGGTTCTCCGCCAGGCTGGTGCTGAGCAAGCTCAGTGGGAAGGCTGGGCCGTGGTCATTCACATCCTGGACCTCAATGGTCACTGGTGCCAGAGCAAAGTGTGCCCCCACAGGGTCTGCAGCCTGCACGACCAGCTGATGTCGAGCCTGGGTCTCACAGTCCAAGGGCCGGGCCAATCGCAAGGCACCCGAGCTCTCATCCAGTTCAAAGAGCCCTGCGGGGTCACCAGAGCTGAGGGTGAAACGCACAAGGCCATGAGGGCCAGGGTCAGCGTCAGAGGCCTCCACATGCAGCAGCTCGGCTCCAACAGGTGTGTCCTCGGATACTGCCACGCGGTAGGATGCTCGGGTGAAGACGGGTGGGTTGTCGTTGACGTCCAGCACGGTGACGGTGACCGGCACGGCTGAGCTGCGAGGCGGCTGCCCCCGGTCAGCTGCAGCCACGGTTAGATTATACTGGGTTAAGCTTTCAAAGTCTAGAGGCTCAAGTAACACCAGGCATCCCAGTGCCTGGGGGCCTAGTCCACCACTCTCCCCAGCTTCAGCAAGACGGGGTTCCAGCTGGAAGACTCGGCCCCGGTTGCCACTGACAATGCTGTAGTCCACCGTGGCGTGGGTGCGGCTTCCGTCAGCATCTGTGGCCTCCAGGGTGAGCAGGGTGGAGCCAGGGGGCAGATCTTCGGTCACAGCCACACGATAGTGTGGCAACGTGAAGCTCGGGGCGTGGTCGTTCTGGTCCTGCAGCTGTACATGCACGGTAGCTCGGGCTGCCCGGCCTGGCATCCCATGGTCTCGAGCTTCCAGCACCACGTCCACCACTCCTAGCCCCTCATGGCCCAAGGCCACTGTTCCCGCTGTCGTGAACAAGGTCCCTGAGGTGAGAAGGGAATGGAGAGAAACACGAATTCACCAGAGGCTATGGGAGAACAGAGCGAGTGACCCTTCAGGGCCTAGGAAATGGCCTTGGAAGTCAGACTCCAGGGACTAGCCTGTGTGCAGGGAGATTATGGGATGGCCCCCCCCAGGGTTCAGGGAAGAGCTTCTAGACATGCAGCCAGGACAGGGCTTAAAATAGAGACAAAGGAGGAAAATTGTCCTCCTTGGGTAAGAGATCTAGGAGTTAAGAGTTCAGACAAGAAATTCTAGGAAGGAGGTCAGAATATGGCCCAACACAATCAAAGATACGGAGTCAGACTGGGGAAGGACGCACCATTGTTGGGGTCAACACTGAAGCCCTCAGCGGGGGAAGCCAGGTGGTAGGAGATGTGACCATTGGCACCTGAGTCCCGGTCAGTGGCAGAGACGGAGAGAATGGCACTGCCTGGGGGCGTGTGTTCAAGCAGCGTCACCTGAGGTATGAGGACAAATGTTTATGGCCATGCTGCCTGGCTGTCCATTCAGCCTGTGTTCTGGAGGTTGGTCCCAGGAGCCCTACTTGGTATCCATTCCAGCTTGGAGCCCATACTCCTTAGTGTTTGAATTGCCCACCTTTCCCCATTTTGGGGCATGGGGCGAAGAACCTGGATATAGTTCCCAGGACTTGCAAGGCTGGTTTGAGATGGGACCTTTCCCCATCCCCCTGCCCCAGAGCTCCATCCCCGGGTCAATTCTAAGGTCTAGCCCATCTCAGATACTTCTAGCCTCCTCACTGCTCTCCAACACGAACCAATCTGGTTCTGGGTGTGGGGACACCCAGGGACATTGGTACCTGGTAGAGGCTCTGTGAGAAGACAGGTGCATTGTCATTGACGTCCTCCACGAGCACCGTGAGGTTGGCACGGCCCTCGTGAGGCCCATCATGTGCCAGCAGCTGCAGGTGGTAGCGGTCACACTGCTCGAAGTCCAGGGGGCCTGTGAGGGAGACACGGCCTCCATAGCGGCCTACGCTGAAAGGATCCTGGGGTCCAGATGAGCTCAGCACATACCACAGCACTGGTCCGGAGTCCACGTCATTCCCCGTGACCTGTGCAATCTCTGAGCCCAAGAGTGCATCTGCAATACATGGGACAAAAGGGTTTGGCATGGTCCAAGACACCTCTGGAGCCCCAGAGTGGGGAACAGTGCCACCCTACCACCCTCTGTACCTCTTACTTTACCCAGCCCTCACCTTCGGATACTTGGAGCTCCCAGGGCTGCGGGATGGTGGGTCGATTGTCATTGGTGTCGATGACCATCACCGTCAGGGTAGCTGAACCCACCAGGGCTGGGCTTCCTCTGTCTGTGGCCATCAGTACCAGCCTGGACAGAGTCAGGTGGAGCACAATTGGGGGAGGGGCCCGGGGATGAGGGAGAACACTGGGCAGGGCTAGGGAGACTCAGAATGTGGCCTAGGGATTGAGGGGGATTCAAGGGGGGACTTGAAGTTGGATGGATCCAGGATGGGGTCGTGGAATCTATAAAGCCAGGGCTCACCGTGTTTCCGCCCAGATCTCACGGTCCAGGATGGCTGTGGTAGTGATAGTGCCTGAGGCTGGGTCTACATGAAACAGTCCCCGTGCTGGCTGGGATGCAGCCAGACTGTAGGAGATCTGTCCGCTGGGGCCTTGATCCAGGTCATCTGCCTCCACCTGGTGGAAGTAGGAGGCTGCAGGCACTGACCTGGGCACAGACAGGTCTGACCAGCCCTGCTCCCCATCTTCCCATCATATCCCATACCTGCAGCAGAGGCCCCTCCAAGGGCCTGGATTCAGGCAGAAAGGCCACGTAGTGGGGCTGCAGGAAGCGGGGGGCATTGTCATTGGCATCCTGCAGGGTTAAGGTTAGCACGGAGAAGGCAAAGGCTCCTCCGCTCTCTGCCTGCAGCACTAGTCTCAGCCGTGGATTTGCCTCAAAGTCCAGCCCCTCTGCTAAGCGAACTGTGATGGCTCCTGGGAGAAGGCAGAATGCATCACTGAATGCCCCTTCCTTGCCCTGGAGCCTTGCTCTCTCAGGCCTCTTACTCAAGGGCAGCCCCTCCCACACCAGAGTCTCCTTGGGCCCAAAGGGGAGCTCCTCCAGGAGCCTGTCCCTTCACCGAGCCCCCTGCTCCTGCCCCTTACCTGTGTTAGGCTGGATGGAGAACGTCCCTTTCTCATTCCCACTGAGAATGCTGTAGGTGATTGGTCCATTTGAGCCCCCTGTGTGGACAGCCTTAGGGGAGGCAATGGGAGTCCCTGCAGAGAGGATGGTATTGGTTGGACTGGAAGCGCTAGACTGAGGGAGTTTGGGGGCCATTTTTAGTAATTCCAGCCCATGCAGAGATATAAGGCTGGGAGACACAGTTGGGACCCACCTGGGGGTGCATTCTCACGGAGCACAGCTTCGCCACTAGCACGGGGAAAGCGGGGTCCACGTTCAGACTCTCCCTGTAGCCCCACAATGACCACACCGGTGGCAGAGCGAGCAGGACGGCCAAGGTCAGTGGCCACGATGAAGAGGACACGATCCCGGGGGCCCAGGCCTACAGGGGAGCGGGTCACACGGATTTCACCAGTGTAGGAGTCCACAGTGGTGCCAGGAGGTGGCGTGCCTGCCAGCCGATAGAGGATGGAGGCATTCGCACCAGCGTCACGGTCTTCAGCTCGCAGAGTGGCCAGAGCCAGGGTCGGGGTGCTGAGGCTGGGGCCTGGGCGGGGCAGGCGCAGCCTCAGGGGACTAGAGGGGAAGGTGGGTGCATGGTCATTGACATCACGCACTGTGATGGTGACAGGCACCGTGGTGCTCAGGGGCCCAGCAGCTGCACCATCCACCGCACTCACGGAGAAGGAATAGCTGGAACACTGCTCTCTATCTAGGGCTGTGGCTGTACGCAGTTCCCCGGAGCTGGGCTCCAGCAGGAAGGCTCCTGCTGCACCTGCACCCAGGTAGTAGGTCACATGGCCATTGGCTCCAGCATCAGGATCATGAGCCTGTAGCTGCAACAGGAGAGTTCCTGCAGGGGCATCCTCAGGCACCTCCACAGAGTAGGCAGGCACAGGAAAGGCTGGGGCATGGTCATTGGCATCCAGCACTGTCACTGTCACAAGCAGAGTGGCACTGAGAGCTGGCTGGCCTCCATCCCGGGCCTCAATCCGCAGCTGGAATGCTGGTTCCACCTCTCGGTCTAGTGGTCTCATGGTACCAAACTCCCCAGAGGCTAGATCTAGGACAAAGGCTCCTGATGGATCCCCATCTGCAGAGAAGGGCATACACACATAAACATACATGCATCTATCTACCCATGGGAGTGGGGGACAGATTTATAGGCAACAGCAAAGAATGAGATAGAGAGGATGGAAGGGAGAGAAAGGAGAGGGAGAGAGGAGGAGGAGGAGAAACAGAAAGAGAAAGAGAAAGAGGAAGCAGAAGAGAAAGAGAAAGAAATTGGGAGAGAGGCAGAGAAACAAAGATAAACACAGACGATAAGGAAATATCTTACTATAAAGCAGCTGATCTTAAGAGTGTGGTTTGGGAACCCCTAGGAGTCTCTTAAGACCCTTTCAAGGGAGTACATAAGATCAAAACTACTTTCATAGCAATACTAAGACATTACATGCCCTTTTCATTCTCATTATCTCACAATGTAGTGTGGAGTCCAGATGGTATATATGATGACATCATCACTTGGATGGTTAATGGAATGTGTGCTAATATAGTCTTGTGTTTTCTAGAATATTCTAGGTAGAAAGTTTAGCATATAAACATGTTCAGAGATTCATTCAGTTTTTGCTGGCTTACCTTCATTTACACCTGTTATAATCTTTGCAAACTCATTACTATCCAACAAACTGTTATTTGAAACCCTAACACGTGCAGAAATATGTCAAGTAGTATACTTCATTGGCTTGCTTTGCCATATTTTATATCTTCTTAGCTTTAATATCTAATATAATATTGATAAATGTATATGTTTATATTACATATTATAATATTTATTATGTTATATCACACTATTCTATCATATAAATAAAAGCTTATCAGGGCTCTCAAAAATTAAGCATGTGGCTCAGCGGTTGAGTGTTGACCCAGGAACCAAGAGGTCTTGGGTTAGATTCTGGTCCAGGCACATTCCTGGGTTGCAGGCTGGATCCCCACTAGGGGGCGTACGGGAAGCAGCCAATTAATGATGTTTCTCTCTCCTCGATGTTTCTGTTTCTATCCATCTTTCTATCCCTCACCTTTCCTCTCTCTCTAAACAACAACAACAAAACAACAAAAAACCATATTTTTAAAAAGCACCATTTCTATTAAAAAAGATTAAGCATGTTAAGGGTTCCCAAGACCAAAACATTTGAGAGCAACTGTCGGTCCACAGGGACAGACAAGACAGAAAAAGAAGCAAAGTTAAAAATAGAGTCTTAGAGGGAGATAAAGAGCTGAAGAAGTACAGGAGACACCCAGAGACAAAGATATATGCACGTAAAAAAAAAAAAGAGGAATACATAAGAAGAAGGAAAAGGAGACCCTAACACATTGACTTGAGTCTGACATAGGCCAACATGGAGTATGTGGTTCTCACCCAGGATGCGGTACTGCAACTGCCCATTTGCTCCCACATCTGGGTCAGAAGCCCGCAGCGTGGTAAGGGTCTGGGGGTCCTGGCCCTCGGGCACTTCCAGGGAGAGATGGGCACTCCCAAAGGCTGGGGCATGGTCATTCTCATCCTCTACGGCCACTCGTACTGTGACATGGGTCAACAGCGGAGGTGATCCCCTGTCTCGGGCATACACTATGAGGAAGGAAAATCAATGAGCTCTAGTCTGCTCCCATCCCCTGGAGAAATCCATACCACACTGTGTTCATATGCGTACACACACACAACAGAAAATGTCCATCTCTCTACACCCCACAAGCACATAGGTGCCTACATGTGGGCATGCACACATAAATATACAGGTTTCTGAGATGTGACTTTCTTCTCACCTTCCATGCATGGTGCATGCAAGATATAGCGGTGGTGTGACATTAAATGAGGTATCAAAAGATCTGGGTTCAAGCCCCAGCTTTGTCACTTTCAAGCTGTGTTAGCTTGAGCAAGTCAGTTCACCTCTTAGGAACTCAAATATGCTCCTCTGTTAAATGTCTGCAGTATAATCTGAGGGAATCCTAGACGGCATAGCTGTGACATTATGCATTTGAGAGTTTGTGTCACACTGGTGACAGCCTAGAAATCAGTTGACCTTGCACTCTGCCAAATTGCTGACTCCCCAAAAGGATAAAAAAAAGGAACAGAAGCTGTGCTGTAATGGGTGGGAACTTCTAGAAGGTAATTTGGGGGTTTTGCTTATGTAACCCTGGGGATTACAACACCTCTCAGGCTTCCAGGGTCCTATCCATGTGTACCTGTCAGGTTGATCTCCTCCTGTTCCTCCCGATCCAGGGCCCGGAGAGTTGTGAGAACTCCAGTGTCTGGGTCCAGAGAGAAGCTCTCACCAGAGATGCCTCCATAGGTCACCTGCCCATTGGCCCCTGAGGAGGGGCGGCATGGAGGGTGTTCAGATATACATATACGTATATACATACATATACACATACATTTTGTCTTTTCTTACCCTAGTCCATCCCTCTCTCAACTCCCCGACCAGCAAGGTCTTACCCAGGTCTGGGTCGGTTGCCCGCAGAGTGAGCAGAGATGTGCCAGGAGGGCTGTTCTCCCGCAAGAGGACGCTGTACTCCTGCTGCTGGAAAGCTGGGGCCTCGTCGTTGACGTCAGCGACACTGACAGTTAGGAGCTGCGTGGCTGAGCGCGGCGGGGAGCCGTGGTCCGAGGCCACCACGGTCAGGAGGTGCTCAGCTCGATGTTCGCGGTCCAGGGGCCGCACCAGGGACAGCGCTCCTAGGTGACCAGTAGGGCAGGTTGGAAGGAAACCCCCGCATCACACCCTCCTCGCACCTGGCCACCGGACACAACTCACCAGTGCTTGGGTGTAGCCGGAAGTAGCCGTCCCCGCCCGCAGCCAGGCGATAGGTCACGCGTGCGGCCTCGCCCAGGTCCGGGTCCCGGGCTACCACGTGCAGCGCCACGGGCCCAGGCGGCTGATCTTCGGGGAGGCGCAGAC